AACCGCTCGCTTTGGTTAACAGGGAGGAACACACCTACGACCTTCGGAGCTAAAAAGCAATGAAGGGTTATGGCTTTGGATCAAAGAACCAATTTCTGCAGGCGAGATGCCACAACAAAGCCACATTTCTTGTGGTTCAGGCAAAGAGAAACACACTCAGTGCTGACCAGCAAAGGTCAGGATTCATTCTTGCTGGAGAAACCTATGGTAAAGGGAGCATTTCACCCTGTGATTCTTGCTGGTCTGGGGCATAGTTGTACAAGACTTCCTAAACTTTATTCAGTTTCATAACAAAATTATTTATGGACCTTTTTCTTTGCCTCAAAAACCACCTGGGGAGAGCCATTTCTCTAGTTCACAAGAAACCACAGTTTTTAATAACCATCCTCAGGAACTGGGTTTCATCTCAGCCAGTGCTAGATGTTGGTGGGGCAGAGCACTCAGCTCTCCTTGTAGTCAGCAGGAAGTGTCAACGTACCCATTAAAACATTTATTAGATCTCCAGTGACTTCAAAAAATTAATCTCCCAGTTTTCTAACTAGTTTCTTTAATCTGTGCGCAGTTTACGATAAAAAGTTGACTCACTGAGAAAGTCACCTGCAGGACTGGAGGAAGTTTATCTGCTCCCGGTGCTTTTTGTGCCCTGTCGTGCTGCCGGTCACAGCTTTGACAGCTGAGCTTCTTGTGCAAGAGCTGCAATCAAACGTGACTGTAGCTCATCTTTTCCGCTCATCTGAGAGTCACTGGACGGTGTATTCCCATTGCTCTGATAACAGGTGATTGCGTTGGAATCACGGGAGCATCGGGACAGCAACAGCCAGGTGCTCTCCAGAGCTATGTGAGCTAAAAATGAAGTTCTCTGGGGATGATGAACTGCACCCACGCAAGGGAGTGATTTAAACTTTACTAGGAGCTCCTGTTTTTCCTCAGAGCCCTGTGTCCAGCCTGCACACACAACCGACCCCGGCTGCTGGGCATTGTAGGGCAGATGAGAAGCGCTGCCAGCTCTAACCAGGGACTAAAGTTAGAGAAGGACATGGAGGGGTCAGAGGAGCTCTCATGGCATGAAGCCAATGGCATGTGTGTGCGGAAAGAGGCCAAGTGATGGGATGACCCTGTTTCTGGGGACCACCAGGACATTTCCAGGGACTGTGAGATCTCTGGAAAGCCATAACAGTATGTTATTGGGTGCACTTCTGCCTTGCAAAACCCCCGAGGCAGGGGATGCCACGGCTGCCTACCTCTGCAAATACCTTTCAGTCTTACCATGCCAGGGAGGATTGTACAAAAGGTAATTACTCTTACTATGAGGAGCTGACATTCAACTACTCATCCTCAGGGATGAGTACACTGATGCTAGTCACTGCGAGTCCTGCACACAGGACAGCTTTTGCATAGGAGCTAATAGGATATGTCGTGGGTACCTCATACCTTCAAGGCACGTTTAGTAGCTATATAAAAGCTCTCCTTCTATTAGGGCTCACTGGTCACATCACAAAGCTGTTCTCACCAGGGAGCTGGGTAAGTCTGGTTTGTGCTGAGCCTCTGTAGCTGCTGAAATGCAGATTTATTTCTGTTTTTTTACACATAAAAATGCTCTATGGGAAAAGTTTTTAAAACTAGTTCGTTTGAATTGCTGTGTTGGAGTGGGAGTGCACTCTCTTACAGTGTCTTCAGGTGGGCATCTGAGCCCAAGAGACACTCCTGCAAGATGTGAGGAAAGGTTGTTAGCAGTAATTGGGGTGCTGCTATTGTTGTTTGCTTTTGAGGGTGCTGACAACAGTCAGAGCAGCTTTGGTGTATCAGGGAACATAACGCTAGAAGAGCTGTAAGCAGGTTTGTGTTCAGTTGTGGTATCGCTACCCTTTAATTGGCTTTGGTTCCCTAATGAGAATGAACTTTGCGATGCTGGGACTGAGCTGTGAACCTCGGCCTGCCCGCGGTGCAATGGGATCACCAAGCAGCGGTGCCTTGGGTGCTCTTTGCCTCACCTGCTATGGCAGATGTGGCCAGAGGTTCAGAGTTTGTTTCTCAGTTGGGCTTTTTTCTTGATGCATCAGCAAGAGGTCAGAGGCTGTCACCAACCAAAAGCAGAAGGGGAAAACTGGATTTAATGATTGAAAGGCAGCTCTGAGATCAGCCATTACTCTGCTGACCTCCAAGATCAGTTCTCCCCTGTGGAGGTCCAGGTGATGGGGAGTTGCACTCTGGGGAGATATTTATGTGTCTCTGAATTTCCCCACTGTTTGACTTAGTGCCATGTTTCTGAGTTGAAAATGATGGGTTGGGTCCTCGGCTGCTGCTGGCATGGTTTTGAGACCGTGGCATAGGCGGGACATGTCTCCGGCACCCTGTGAAGCAAGCCGGTCCTGCGGCACGGGCAGCCGTGAAACTCAGCCGGGCGCTTGTCTAAAAGCTCTGCTTTCTCATGTGCCAGTCCAGTCCTGCCGAAGCCTCACTGAGATGTCGTGCTACATACAGCAGTGCCTCCCTCCAGTCTACCAGGAACCCATCCCCATCAAGTGCCCGCCGATGTACACTGCCAGACACCCACCAGTGTCTACCTGGCACTCGACACTGTGCATCCCACAGCATGTGACCCCCTGCATCCCCCGGCAGCGGATCATGTCCTCCAGCTTCTCCCAACAGCAGTGTGTGACCAAGTGCATGCCACAGCAGCAGTATGCAACCAAGTGTGTGCCGCAGCAGCAGTGTGTGACCCAGCACATCCTACAGCAGCCATGTGTAACTCGATGTGTGACAACTTGCGTGCCGCAGCAGCAGTGTGCGACCAAGGGTGTGTCGCAGCAGCCTTGTGTGACCAAGTGTATGCCGCAGCAGCAGTGTGCGACCAAGTGCGTGACCGCCTACGCCCCCCAGCAGCAGTGTGCGACCAAGTGCATCCCGCAGCAGCAGAGTGCGACCAGGTGCGTGACCACGTGTGTGCCACAGCAGCCATACCTGACCAAGGGCATCCCACAGCAGCAGTGTGCGACCAAGTGCATCCCGCAGCAGTGTGTGACCACGTACACCCCTCAGCAGCAGTGTGCGACCAGGTGTGTCACCACGTGTGTCCCCCAGCAGCGTGCAACCAAGTGTGTCTCGCACAAGTTTGTGACCTCCTGTGCCCCGCAGCAGTGTGCCACCCCGTACATCCCGCAGCAATGTGCGACCAGGTGTGTGACCAAGTGTGTCCCGCAGCAGTGTGCCACCAACTGTGCTACCATTTGTATCCCACAGCAGTGTGAGACAACTTGTGTCCCACAGCAGCCGTGTGCAACCAAATGTGTCCCACAGCAGTGTGAGACAACTTGTGTCCCACAGCAGCAGTGTGCCACCAAGTGTGTCCCACAGCCGTGTGCGACTAAATGTGTCCCACAGCAGCAGTGTGTGACCAAGTGTGTCCCACAGCAGCAGTGTGCACCCAAATGTGTCCCACAGAAATGTCAGACAGGTGGAGTAAAAATTTCGAGTCACTCCAAGAAGTACTGCTCTGCATCCAAATGGCCCTGGTAAAAAGGAGCGGGGCAAAGGTCCACAGAAAAAGTGAGGTACAGCTTTGGGGCAGGGGTTATTTATCTCCTCGTACCACCTGCCGACTAGTTCCTGTTGCTTAAGTCTGCTTTATCTCTGTTTTCCAGTACTTCCCCTGTAGCTCAGCTCTATTTTGGGCCAGGGTGTGATACTATTTCCATGGCTGCACTCCAGGTGCCTGTGGCTTGTACCTTAATCTGCTACAAGGCATAGTTTAGTGGGATGCTATTAAATTCTCACCTAAGTGAAAGGAATAGTGATTTTTTTTTTTTTTAAATTAGAAAAAAAAAATAAATGAGGAGTCCAAGGCATCCAGATCATGACAGCATCAAGAGGACCGGCAGTGCGGCCATGGAGGGCTGGCCCGTGCCCGGCTCCAGGTTTAGTCCTGGCCTTGGGAGACAATGTTCATGTTAATTTGTACTCCATGAGGCTGCGAGTTCTGCAAAATAGCTGTTGTTACTCACAGATTTGGGAGCCAAATGTAAATTTGCTAAGCAAACGGTATACGAATCTTACTCCAATGGCCTTCATTTCAGAAGGTGGCCAGAAATCCCGGCTGCTTTAAAACACTGACTCTGCGTTGACTTCAGTAGAGTCCTCAAACAAAACAGGATTTCTGACTCGGTGAAGTTGGTCCTTGCTGAAATTTTATACATGAATGTTTTTATTCACTTGGTTGCTTTAATTAATATTGAAAACACAACTTGAAACAAAAGAAAGTCTTTGAAATAACACTGAAAGTTGTAGCATGACTATTTTATAAATGTCTGAGCTATAAAACTGATTAACTGTATTCTTTATGCTGCCTGAAGATGTGTACTCTGTGCTGTATTGAAAACAAACCATATGTATCTATATGTATACTTATATTATACATATACATATGCTTAAATAAATATAATTGTCTGACCTCAGATTAAATATCTTGTCTTTTTATCCTCTGGTGGTTCTTTATTAAACATAGTGAACTCCTGTCTGAAAAATACAAAAATCCTGTAACATATCCTATCATTAGGAAAATGAGTAGTAGCTCACGCTAAGTAGATCATGTGTATTTGGAGGGCAAAAACAAGTGTCGCAAGACGAAGAGGAGGGTGTGACTGGGGCCGGGACGCTGCCCTGCATCCTGCCCTGCTCCACCCTTTTTCGGTGACCTTGGGGTGCCACCACGGGCTGTCCTCTGAAGGCAAGGATGTCTCTAAAACCTGAGCATCTAGCAACGTCAAGGTGGCATCTGGCTGCTTCCCCAGGGTGCTCAGTGGGTCATGGGGGAGCAGACCCTTTTCACACCTTCTGCTGAATGTCCAGTGATGATGCTTTGGCCCGGTGTGGCAGCATGCAAAAGCAGCAGTGACCACGGCTCTCCTTCTGCCTTGCAGAGCCAGGGATGCTCTCACAACCCCATGTTTTGTGTCCCCTTTAAAACCAAGAAATGAGCACCGGTGTGGCCTTCTGAGGAGCTGTCACATCATTGTGGCTCTCCCATAGGAACCAGAGCCCAGGGGATCGTTAGGAAAATCTTCCTGGGTGGTGGGTGCCTGGGTGGCACACGACCTCATCTCACAGGGATGGAGCGGCCGCTGGAGCACGGGGCTTGTTTTGGAGGTGGTTGCATTGGAGTCTGGTTCTGACCCTGGCTCTGACTCATGCTGTGCTGCCAAGTGACCACAGCGCAATGTGCCTCAGTTTCCCCTGTGCTTAATTGGGAATAATAACAGCCCCCACAACAATGTCCCATGTGGCACTGTGCGTCTTTCTGAGATGAAAGGACTTTATAGATGCTAATTAAGAACATTTGGATGACAGGGCACGATGTTATCATCGGGCTAATATTTTGCTACCTGCACTGGAAACACTAAATTGAATATTAGCATTACTTGAAGGCTACTTGATCTGGAGCTTGCACAGAAACTGGATTTATGGAGCTTGTAAAAATTGTATTAATCTGCTTACCTGCTCTCTGACACCAGCTTGATTCCTAAAATCTTGGGTCAGATCATTTAACATTAAAAAGGGCATTGTAGTTCAGGAGAGTGAAACTCAATAGACAGAGGAATTCAGGTTGGATTCAGTGCTTTTGTCTTCAGTTGGAGAAAACAAGATAAGCCTAGAGAAAGCATTCGTCCTTTTGGTTTTTGTAGCTCTTGAAATGTTGACATTAACTGGGAAAACATGTACTTTGTCTGTATTTGTTTCTATAATACTGAGGGAGATTTTTTGTTGGAAAATCAGAAATGTAAATAACCTACCTACCTTCAGGCTTCTGGATTTTCTGGTGAAAACAGAAATAGAAAATTTATTCAGTGGTTCATAAGCCAGAGATCAATATTCTGCTTCAAATCATAGAATCATTTGAGTTGGAAAAGACCCTTAAGATCATCGAGTCCAACCGTAAACGTAACACTGCCGAGTCCACCAATAAACCATGTCCCTAAGCGCCACGTCCACACGTCTTTTAAATACCTCCCGGGATGGCAACCCAGCAGCATCCCCGGTGCTTCATATCGGTGAGAAATTTTCCACCTACTCCATTAAAAGTTAATTTATTTCACCTCTTTTTATTTCAATGTGTAGGATCTCACCTGAATTCCCAGCATGCTGGAATGCAATTCATAGATGTCAGATTTGCATTAAAGGAAAACAAAGGCCAGGGCCTTTGCTTATGCAGATATGACTATGTAAAAATGCATTCTCTGTTGGCACTTATGCTCATGCCACTGTTAATTTCCCCTTGGGTTTATTCGTGGCATGAACAGGGAACAAAGGGAGGGATGACTGGTGCAGAGACTGTGCAGCAGAGCAGGAAATGTGATTTGTATTTTCAGGACACGAGCCCGGTTTGATTCAGCCACCTTTCCCAAGGCTGCCCCAGTGCTCCTGCTCGTCCCTTCTCCCCTTTGTTGTGCTGGGAAAGCGTCACCTCTTTCGGCAGGTTATTCACTTTGCGGCAGGTCCTTTTTAGCAGCTGTCTTGCCCTTAGCCCAAGGCTTTCTCAGTCCCAATCATCCGTCTCTTCCCTGGGTTCCCTGTGTGAGTGAAGGAAGCCTGCATGCCACAGTAATTATGGTCTGCAAAAAGTCGCCGAGAGTCCTTCCTGGACGGTGTTTTCAAAGGCACTGAAGGGACTTATGTATGCAGCTCCCATGGAAATGAGGAGTCCCTTGGGCTGTGCCTTTGGTGGTCTCAACTGCAATCTTTTTCTGGGTGGAAAGGTGCGTTTTAGCTGGCCTGGATTTGCAATGGGCAGGCAGGGATGCTTCGGCATTGTGCATTCATAGCGTGAGGGCCACGAGCAGCCCCTGCCCAGGGTGTCCTTGGCCTGCCAGGGGCTTCACTGGTTCAGCATGTTGGATCAGGAGGTTCCCCCTTATGAAGCTCACAGGCAAGCCAGATGTCCCAGCAGTGCCGGCCGGCAATGGCAGCCCTGCAGAGCAAGGACAGCCATTCCCACCGGCGCGAAGCTGCACGTGGCTCAGCCAGGACTGGCAGGCAATTAGAGCATCACCCAGCCAAACCACCTCACTCCCCTAGGGCACTTATTCACTGTATAAATGCTCTGCCATCGCGGGGCTCTCCTAGGCACTTCTCTCCGGTTGTTCTCACTGATGAAGTGGGTAAGTCTGACTTTTAATGGAGCTCCTGAAATGCTGTTTTATTCCTGGGTGGCCGGAGCAGGCAGAGGTCCTGCCTGTGTACTTGCGGAGAAGTATCCTCTGGGGGATGCTGCCTTCAGCACCGCATGCACGGCTCTAACAGCTGGAGCATCTCCTCCGTGCTAAACTGAAGAATATTGGGAAAGCGCTTCCAGATGGACTGTGAAGTCAGGAGTGGGATTTGTGGGCTTTTCTACACTTTCTGTTAGTTCTAGTCCGAAGGAGGCTATTGACTACATAAAGGGCTCGATGCTGGCAGGAGTCAGATATGAGCTTGCAAGCGAAAAGGCAACTCCTCTAAAGGAAGTGGTATGGAGAAATTTGCTGCCTTTTAATTTAAACAAAGAAACTTTTCAGATAATAGTAAGAAGCTGACCAACTTCAGTGCCAATGTGAAAGTCAGCAGAGAGACTCTCTAGCTAAGTCTGAACGTGTTAAAATTTCTGTCTGGGCTAACTGATGAAAATAAGTCCGAGATGCAAACGGTCCCCTGGAAGCAAATCATCCCCCCTACGTTAGAAGCTTTTTATCTTGGTGAGCATCACCAGATACTTTAGTGTTGTACATGTAGTAGTAGCAATTGTTATCACTGTTTTTCAACAGGTTGTTTTTCTTAGTGGATGATTATTATAATCATAGTGATAATAAGTTTTCCTAATGGTAGTAACACACAGCATTGTTATTGCTAACAGTCACTCAGTGATAGGCTTTTGGAAGATAAAACACCTTACTGTAATTATAGACAGAACTAGGGGTGTTCAGAAAATGCAGTTTCTTTACAGTCGTTAAATTATATGTCTTAATCTCCAACCAACGTTGAAATGAAAAAAACATTTTTGATGAGAGTACCTTTCACATGTCAGTGGTTTCAGTACCTGTTATGCTCAAAATAATCCTGTTAAAAACTCAGAAAACTCCCTGAAACTGGTGTTTTCCAGAGTGGGGAATGATGTGGGATCGTTTCTCCTACAACTCCCAGGGCCAAGGCAAAGTGAGACATTTCACAGTGGTTTCAGGAGGGAAGTGGGGACCTCCAGGTGGTGCCACCTGGTCCCGTCCCCAGGGATGCGCTCTCAGCCAGACTCTCCTGCCTGCTGCTTGTACAGGGGCTGCCAGGATGAGGTTTCACTATCATCAGAGCTACTATGCCAGGCATTTTGACAGTGGGTCTTCAGGTTACCATAACAAAACCAGGACACTGTGTCTTGGTATGACTGTAGGGCAGGGCTGGAGGCTGCTTTAAATGGGTGTAATTCTCTCAGCTCAGTGAAACTTGACCAGTTAACACCAGCTGAGGTTTTGCCTTGATAGCTTCTCCTTTCCTGCTATAGTTTCATCAAATATTTAGAAACAATCCTATTGTATTTCCTCTTTTCTTGAAGATGCCTACGCAATAGTATGAAGCTGGGACTGCAAGGCTTGCAGAGGCAGCGAAGCTGATGCTGCGGTAGCAAGCTCAGAGCCT